TCGTACCCCATCCATAATAATTATTTGAACCAGTTTGTTTAAAATTTTAAAAAAGCAATTTTAGTTAGGATAAATTAAACATGAGAAAATCATCATGAATATGACTAAGAGTTGTTAAAAGAATTTAAGTTGCACATATAAGAGTTATATTGGAAAAAGTTTATTTTGATAAGCTATTTGAAATAAATAATAAAAAAAGGCTAAAAATGGATTTTTTTTCCCCAACAAAACTTTCATGATTGGCTAAATTGTTCCTGATAATCATGAGTACAGTTAAACTTAATTAAAGTAACTTTTTTGTTTGATTTTAAATAAAATGACCCTCTATCTCATTCCACTCATTTAATCACAAAATATAAAATACAACAGAAAGTAACGCAAAGCGGTCCCAACAAATCATCAATATAACAAAATGGTGAAAGCCACTGCTTGCAAAAATCCTCCAATGGCTCCTCTCGCAATTAACCATTCACAGGGCCGTTTTTACTGTTCATAGTGCTGGTGGCTCAATGAAGAGTGTTGGCTTATTACCTTGCGCTGCACCAAGGGCTTGATAAAAAGCTCCCTCTTCTTTCTTCTCTCAAATTTTAGAACTCTCGCCCTCTTTTTAAATTCTTTAAAAAAAAGTCGAATAATTTCCATTGAGCATCGTGTGCATGTCATCTCATGTGATTGATAGGACAGAAAAGATAGGAAAGTGAGAGGAAGAGGCAGAAACAAGTAGGAGAGGCTTCATTCCTCTCTCTTTGCTTCATTGCTTCTGGATTTCATTGACAAATCCATTGGCTTCGCTTCCCTACCATCTTCCTCATTGTGTTAGTCCAGGGCCGCAATCTCCTCATTGAGCTTGGCCTCATCTGCTCTCGCCATCGTCAGTACCATCTTCTCGATGACTTCTTGACTGGGTTCTCCATTTGTGAAATTCTGAGCAAGGTCTCTCCATCCTTCTCTTCTTTTCAAGGGGGAACAAGTAGATTCTTTCAAATTTTCGCACTCTCAAAAACCACATATAAAGACATCTCAAGCAAAGCAAACCGAATCTGGTAGATCTTCTTCGACACTCTTGATTCCTTGAATCCTCCTTTAATAATTCTCTCTCTCTCTCTCTTCCCCCCCTCCCTGTTTATGCTTTTCAGTGCCCAGAATATGAGGTTTGAGAACTCAAATGGAGAGATCTTCACCAAAAAGAATACCTCCAGATCCCTCGTCTACTTCTCCAATGGTCTTCATTCACTAAATTCTGCTATTGCCAATTGGGTCGATGTTGATGAAAATGCACTGATGAAGTAATCAACGAAATACAGAATTTGCTGACAGACCTCTCCTCTGAGAGGAGTCAAAAGACAAAATCCACAGAAGCACAAGAAAGCATTCTTCAAGAAATTGAATAACTTGCTGCTAAAGATTATAGTATCTCCAGAGGCTCTGCTCCAACTATTCTAGAGGAAACTTGAAGGAATGCGAGTTGCTGGAACCGGAAACCCTGACACTACCTTCAAATACATGCTCAAGAATAGGCACAGGGTATGAAATACTACGCCAAGGGTATAACTGGAAATCTTTTAAATCAGGAAGATGGTACGCAGAGTTGGAAAGGAAAGCTGCAGAGCTTGCTTCCCTTAGTTTTACTATAATTTGGTTACCACCACCTACAGAATCTATTTCACCAGAAGGATACATGCTAAATGATTTATATAATTTGAATTTCAGGCACTGAATTAACATGCTGCTAGTTTTCTAATAATTTGTGTGTACTGATGATAACTATCTTTTAAATTTGCGCCGCAAGTCAAGCAAAACTACGGTGAAAGATATTATTTTTTTTCACAGGTCTCAGCTCACTCTTAGTGAAAAATATCATTTTTCATCATAGATCTCAGCTCAACTATAGTAAAAAAAATGATATCTTTCATCACAGATACCAAATTACCTGTGGCAAAAAATATGTCGTCCAATGACTATCTTTCACTATAGGTTTCAGCTTACCTGTGTTGAAAAATAATATCTTTTGCCATAGGTTCTAGCTTACTTGTGATGAAAAATAGTGTCTCTCATCACAGTTCTAAGCTTACCTGTGGCGAAAGATGAATTTGTAAATTCATATATGATGATAGTTGTTGCTACAATTATTGCCATATACCATCTTTTACCACAGTTATAACAATAATTGTGGCCGTAAATACTATATTTTTTTATAGAATCACTAATAATTATATACATCCTTTACTTATAAAACCTGCATTAATACATAAACAGTAACTCTAGACACAAGTACAAATATATCTACTACAAACATATGAACTAAGTCAACATTTTTAATACAAATATCTAAAAAGTTTCTATTCTAATCGTATTAATTCTCAACAAAAACTTGACCTTCTTAACTCTTGCTTAGAATATGGCTTTAAACTTTAAAAGTGTTGCAAATTAAATAACAATATATATATGAATAATAACTCAAGTATATGGCAAAAATCATAATTATAAATTATTATTAACAAATTAGTACCTAATCAAATGAGTGAGTGATACCCTAAGTGATGATTTTATACATGAATTATCATATAATAATCGCATTCTACACTTCCTGATTGTTGAGGATACTATATAAAAAATAAAAATAATTAAATTTATTATATCAGTATTATAATCTTCATTCTAATTAGGGAATAAATTTAAAATATTTACTTACATTGGCACCCACTTGATTTTATTTTTTTTTTCCTGTCAACCATTCTCACTGATTTTTAATATGTCGCTAAAGATCTATTTACCAAATATACACACTTAAAAAATATTAAATATATGTTATTAATAACACAAAATAGAATTATGCAAAAACTTACAATTCAATCAAAGTCTTCATATCATCGCTTATTTTCCTTTGCAGTGAACAAAACCAGTATATAGTATTTTTAAATGGGCAAATGACAAGAAGCATCTAATGATGACTACAATATATTAATTTATATTAATATCACATCATTAAAGAAATTGTTATAAACTAAGAGATGCATTTAAAATTTAATACCTCTCAATAATTGATAAAAATCAGCACAACTTCTTTTGTTTACACATTGTCTTTTCAATATAAAAAGCTCTTTGGTTCACTTTGCCATATACAGTTAAAAGTGGAGACAAAAACCCATAACTATTATTGACACTGAGTTCAATGCATATCTTGTAGAGATACCTTTGATAATAAGAAATACATTAGTAATAATAAAATATTAAATATTAATTTAGAAATAAAAATGAATACTTACATGTAAAAATTTGAATTATTTCCAAGTCTAACCACTCAAAAATAATGAGATCATTAATGTTTTTTTTAGTGACTTTAAATGTAATATGCTTCCCATCAATCTTTTCGATTATGTTTATTTCATTAAAAAATTCATTTATGTCAACCACCATCGAAGCCAACCGTTTCAAATCATCTTGCACCAGTTAAGAATTAGAACCCAAAGATTCTTTTGATTGTAGAAGTTCCTATAATTAATATACAATGAAAATTAGAAATACTTATGATATTAATTAAAAAATAAAAAAATTGTAATATTTTTATACCTCTTCAGTAACATGTCGAATTAGCTTTTTCAACTAAATAATGAAAGTATGATGAGCTTGTCCTATTGTTTGCACCTCCTCAGAAGGGAATAGGGTAGGAACATTAGTATCTACAACCTCTTCAACCATCACCTTTACTTGGTTATCACTACTACAAAACTGTTAATATAAGACGTTTTCTTATAGGATGGTTATATACACAACTATCTTATATAAAAAGGTAGAGATATGTGAAAATAAATATAAGATTGGTATTTAAATAACTGTCCTATATATATATATATATATATATAATATAGGATGGTTATATTAAAAACTGTCTTATATATATATATTTTTAAAGACATTTTTAATTTTTGTTAAAAAATTGCATGACTTATTGGTAGAGCTGGGAAAACGGGCCGAGCCCATTGGGCTAGCCCGTTTAAACGGTATAAGAGTAGGGCCGGGCTTGAAAATGGGATTCCAAAATGATAAATCGGGCTTAAATGGGCTGCCCGTTTAAGCACGTTTAATTTAGGGCTTAAAAAGGCCGGCCCTGTAGGGCCGAGGGCCAGCCCGTTTAAGCCCGCATATACATTTTTTTAATTAATTCTCATAATTTTTACTCTTTTTAGATTTGAAAAAAAATAAACTAAATCTTACTTCACATCACATATTAGCCCATATTTACTGAGGATGGAAGGTAAAAAAAAAAGAAGGAAAAATAGCAATGAAGAATCACTGATAAAAAATTATATCAGTCAATGATCACTTGTTGTCAAAATTTGAGTAGATACTTGTGGATTCGAGTTAGCCTTTATCAATAAGTATTCATTTAGGTTTTAATAACAACTTATTTTAAATTAACAATAGTTCATTGTAGCTTGTTTTTCATTTAGGTTTTGACAACAATTGATTCTTAATTGATATAAATTTCATATAGAAATCCTTGGCTACTATTTTCTAAAAAAATACAACCTTAAATCCCCTAATTCATTTAGATCCATGATAATGATTTATTCAGTTCAACATTTACTCTTCTAATTTTGATTGGGTGTTTGTCGGCTTAGCCGATCTATTACTTATTGCATTACCATTATTTTATTTGTGTTTTTAGTTCATTTAGATGTTATTTAGTTAGTTTTTTTGTACCTTTCTTGATTGAATATTATATTAGAATGAAGTAATTTTTTATTTGATTAAAAAATTTAAAAAAAATAAAAATAGTTAAAAGGGCCTAAAGCCTGCAGAGCCGGCCCTGAGCCCGCTATGTCTAGGGCCGGATTTCAAATATCAGGATCCTAAAGAGAACTCGAGCTTAAAAAAATTAGTTTTTTTAGACCTTGCCTTTTTTACCAGCTCTACTTATTGAACGTTTCTTTAAGAAGGGTCCTATATGTAAAACATATATAGAGGACAGTTCTTTGTAAGAATAGTCCTATATTTCTTTGACATCCTTAAATCCTTGACGTCCTTGCTTCTTCTCTCTCTCAAAAGTTCAGTCCTCACGAGTGCCCTAACATGCTCTCTTCTCTCGCCATTACCCACTTCATCTTGTTTATGCTTAAGCTTGCCGTCGCCGTCGTGAATGAATCTTGTGACCCATACTCTAAAGAAGAAAGGCATCCTTGCCAGGATCCGAGTAAAGTTTCTATTTTCTTGGTTCTTTTTTCCTAAATCGTGATTGTTTTACTTATATTTTGAATTGTTTTTGTTGGCAATTGAGCATTTAGGGTAGATTTGTTCCAAGGTTCTTAGTAAATGGTGCTAGTGCTTATTTGATAGGTAGCTAAGATGTATCTAGGGTTTTCTTTTCCCCATCCCAATTTTGCAGAGGATTGAAATGTGGGTTTGAAACGGGAGTTGCAAAAATAAGAGCTTGTGAAAAATTTAGCCTTAGGTGGATGTTGATTGAGTCTGTGGAATGAAATGTTTAAAATGTAATCAATTTGAGGTGATATACTGCTCTTTCAAATGAGACTAAGGAACTAATTGTTGGCTTTATACTTTTCATTCACTGGGTCTTCATATTTCATTTTTGTCCAGTTCATAATCTGTGTTCTTTTGTCCCAAAAAAATATGCTCTTCTCTTTGGGTTATTGTTTCTTAGTTGATTGATTTGGCTTGTTTTTTAGGCTGAACTCAGAGCCAGTGTATTTGAGGCTATTGAAGAGGAGGGTCAGGTAATATAGAAAGAGGAAGGCTTATCACCTTTACTATTCATGAAATTTTTCTTGTTTAGACTTTACACACGCATACTTAAGTTAAAGTTAGAAGATTTTGATGCAGTTTATGTTTGATTTAGTTTTGTTTCTGATCCTTCCTTTTTCTATTTGTAGTTATTGATTGTATCCAGCCGGTAATTGCAGTCTGAATTGATGGCTTTGATGGTAAGATTTCTCTCTAAGTTCTCTTTATTCATAAAATTTGTTAATTGTGAATTGTTAATTTATTCCATAGACTCTTTTGCGTATTTAGTTTCAGATTTCAATAAATAAGTTTATAAGTTAGTTCTTATAAATACCAAACTTGCTAGATATTTATAAGCTTAGTACTTCTATGACTCTATCGAGTGGCCTAGGGAAGGATGGAGGACTGTGTGCAAGCAAGTTTATTATTGAGACAGTGTTTGAAGAAACAGAGTACAAGCTATCACTTTCCATCCCCCATTTAAACCTCCTAAAGTATTGTTATGAAGTGCATCTTTGCATGGATTAGTTCACGAATTGTGATTTTCTTTATCTCAAAAGTAAAGTGTTGTTGCTATTTGCTGCATTTTGTTTGCATCATTAAAGCAGAGTGAGAAGAAAATAATAGCAATCATCTTAATTTATGATTTAATAGTAAAATTCATATTTAATTATTTGGGTATCTCTTAGAAGTGCTTTAGTAGGCTTCCCTCAATTAAGTCTGTAGATTTAGTTTAGACCAAAAATAGGCCAAATTCCTTAAATTATCTTCATTTTTAGTGTTGGTTTAAAGTCACATTCCTTAAACTAAGTTTGAAGAAAATTACCCCTTAGTATTTGTTTGTGGTTATATCGGTTTGGTGGGATATAATATAGCATGTTCCTTTGGGTGATGTTCTGCAATTGATGTTAGTTCACCACTAAATCCAGAAGCAGCACAGCTTTGGAGCAATCAAGAAGGCAACAATGATAAAGCTTGATTATCTATTTTCTCCTTTGTGCTATATAACTGATAAATAATTTTTATTTATTGCAAAATAATCTGGAATGGTATCTTTTGTGTTTTACAGAGTAAAGAAAGAAGGTGGAGAAGTATTACGAGCCTCTAAGTGCTTAGCTGTTTTAGTCTTGGAGTTTATCAACTATCTAGAAGCTCAACAATGATTCCTAGGCTTCTATCAGACATGCAAACCGAAATTAATGTAGTTGTTCCATAATTAGTGTGGTAATCACCCCATCTCTTGGCCATGAAGATGTTAATTTTCTGGCTAATGAGAGTTTAATCATTCCCTTATTGTAAAGATGGGAAGGATCAAAGTTGTTATCTTTTACTACCATATGATTTTATTTTCTCATATTTCTTATGTTTGTTATTGAATGTAAATTTATATTTATCAGAAGCTAAGATGATTTTTGTTCTTGGGGCTTAAATGTTGTCAACAAATGATAAATCTTCAAATATTTGTTTTTGAAAGTATTTTTTTGTGACTACATAGCTTTAGTTAATTAGTTTGATGTCCCTAAATTAGATTCCTATTCTTGTCCTTTATAATTATGACCTTTTATCCCTTGATGTATTCATGACTTGTCTTACTCAACAATTGCTTTGATATTGAAGGAAAGATCTCTAACGCTAATAGCTTGTCATAGTACACAAAAGAAATACATAATGATGTAAAGTCATAATGCATGTATTTCTCCCTTTTTTCCCTAAAACAATCATATATAGGACGGTTGGAGCATCAACCGTCCTATATGTGGAAGGCAATTTTTTTTTTTTTTTATAAAAAAGAATGTCATGCAGGATGATTGTAACAACCGTCGTATATATTACACATATAGGACTATTCTTACAACTGTCTTATATCTATTTCTACAATATAAGGATGGTGGTTAACTGTCCTCTATCGGAACAAATAACCATTCTCTATAGCCTTTTTTGGTATAGTGTATGTTGTATCTGTTGGTGGTAAACTATAATTGCATGGTTATATACTTATTTATATGCAATTACTTGTTTGTCATGATCCTTTACATAAAGTATGTATGGCATTCTTTCATCTAATAGGTTAGAATCACACATTGGATCTGTAAAACCATCATAATTCGGTGCTTGTTGTGGTTGCATCTATAGATTACTAATTATTGATTGCATTTCCATCATCATGTTTGACTTGCATTCTGCTATCATCATTTGCACTTGCTGTATTGGTTCAAGATTAGATAGATATCTTATTTCTATGCCTTTTGGAACCCTCCTAACATGACCCGGGTTCTCTTTACTCCTTAAGGCCACTAGTACAAAATATAATTTTAACTACATATTTTTCGCCACAGTTTATAGGAAAAACTATGGTAAAATAAGGTAGAGTGGCAAAAATGTAAATAAGATAAAAAATGTAAGATTTATGGCCATAGACATACAATCCACCTGTCGCCGTAAATGATTTGACAAGCCTTTAAACAAATAACGTAATTAAAATAAATCATTAATTCAAATTTTAAATTTACATTATTAAGAAATATATATATTTAAATTTAAATTATTAAGAAAAATATATATATATATATATATATATATTTAACGTGTCTCAGTTTAAAATTCAGACATATAAATTTTAGTTATTTAAAAAAAAGATTATTTTCATTTTTATAAATATTTTATTATAAATACATAAATAAATTTAATTTTTCTGATTTTAGGCATCATTAATATGCTTGAAATTAGAAACCTACAACGATAGGCGTTCTTAACGCCTGTCACTGTAAGTATGTCTGATTTCAGGCATATTAATTATGCCTAAAATTAAGCAAACTTACGGTGACAAGCGTGATAAATGCCTGTCGTCATATGTCTGATTCAGGCATTTAATATGCCTCAATTTCGTAAAAATAATGATTAATCAATAATTAAAAATTTTACATAAATTTTTTTAATTATTTAAATTATTAATATGCCTGAATCCAGACATATTAAATGTGTCTGAATTCAGACATATTAAATTTGAACTATTAATAAAATTAGGATTATTTTAATTTTTATAAATATTTATTCATTATATATATATAATTAAATATGTCTGATTTCAGGCATATTTAATATGCCTGAAATCAGAAACTTACGGCGACAGGTGTGATAAATGCCTGTCACCGTATATCTAATTCACGCATTAAATATGCCTCAATTCCGTAAAAATAATAATTAATCAATAATTAAAAATTTTACATAAATTTTTTTAATTATTTATATTATTAATATGCCTGAATCCAGACATGTTAAATGTGTCTAAATTCAGACATATTAAATTTAAATTATTAATAAAATTACGATTATTTTAATTTTTATAAATATTTATTCATTAAAATATATATATATATATATAAAATTAAATATGTCTGATTTTAGGCATATTTAATATGCTTGAAATCAGGCAAACTTACGGCGATAGGCATGGTAAATGCCTGTCACCGTAAGTCATTATTACATGCGGCGACAGGCATTAATGACACCTATCACCATATGTCTTCAATAAATCCGTTTTCCCTCGCCGTCAGCTTCCTCACTCGCCCTCAGCTCCTAAAACATCCACTGCAGCTTCCATTCCCATAGCTCCCTCAGCCGCCGCAGCTCCAGCTCCCCATTCCCCCAGCTCCCTTGTCCGTCACAACTCACCCCTTTTTCCCCCAGCTCCCTCATCTGCCATCAGCTCATCTGCCCACAGCTCGTTCGCCTACAGCTCCAGCTCCAGCTCCAGCTCATCTCTCGACGCCTATAGCTCTGCCGCCCTGCTGTCTCCTCCACCTGTTGTCTCCTTCGGTGCCAGCTAAAGGTTTTTCCCTCCTTTTTTTTGCAATTTTTTTTGCAATTTATGTTATTTTTTTAGCTTAATTTTCATTCTTTTTTTAGTTTATTTTTTTTGCAACTTATTATTAATTTTTTATAATTTATGTGATTTTTTAGCTTAATTTTCATCCTTTTTTGCAGTTTATTTTTTATTTTTTTCAATTTATTATTTTTTTGGCAATTTATGTCATTTTTTTAGCTTAATTTTCATCCTTTTGCCTGAAATTTTTCATTTTTGATTTTGAAACTTGATTTTTATTTTTCTAATTATAATTATGCATATTTTTTTAATTTTAATTTTGTTAAATTTAATTATAATCCATCATACCTTGAGTTTAATTAGTTTAAATTTTGTTTTAAATCTTGGAGAATCTCTATTTATTGAGTTATTGTACAAGCAATTTTTTTAAATTACAAAATGTAAATTATTTGGGTGATACATTATTATTATTTTTTAATTGTGTGGATACTTGATTAGTAGATAATATCATGCATTGCATTTAATTAGTTGAAATTGGCAATTTATTGAAAATTAATAGGCTTAATTGGAGGGTTTAGTGCCCGAAAAATCTTAATCTATAAGTCGTTATGCTGCCAAATTTTTTAAAATTTCAAATGATAAATTATTTGTTGATATTTTAATTAGGTAATGATGAACAGTAGTTGGATAAATTCTTTGCGGACAAGTGACGAATATGAGAGAGGGGTAGATCAATTTTTGAAATTTATAAAGAATAATGCTCTTAGTGATAAAGGACTGTTCTATTATCCTTGTGTTAAATGTTTGAATGGGTTGTGACGAAGTTCTATTGAGATTAAAGATCACCTAATTTGTTTTGGGTTCTATAAAGCATACACACAGTGGGTGTTGCATGGTGAATCTAAAAAACGTAGTGTGCCACAAGAGGTGGATGATGATATCGATTATTTTGGTGATCAAATAGAGGATATGTTATGTAATATTAGCGTTGAAGCTGTTGAGAAGGTGCACAAATATGATAGCTTGTGCAATGATTCAGAAACTCCTTTGTATTCAAGGTGCACAAAATATACACGACTAACAGTAGTGTTAAAGTTGTTTAACTTGAAAGCAAGATATGGGTGGAGTAATAAGAGTTTCATAGAGTTGCTCAAATTGTTGAAAGAGATACTTCCAAAGGGTAATGCACTTCCTAGTAGTTATTATGAGGCAAAAAAAATATTGTGTCCAATGGATTTGGGGTACCAAAAGATACATGCTTGCCCCAATGATTGTATATTATACAGAAATGATTTTGAAGAATTGGATGCATGTCCGGTCTGTAAGGCATCATGCTACAAAGTAAAAGAAATGGATGGTAGTGATGATTCCATAACTAAAAGGCCTCCAGCGAAGGTGATGTGGTATCTTCCTATAATACCAAGGTTTAAACATTTGTTCGCTAATTCAAGTAAGGCAAAGAACTTGAGATAGCATGCTGATGAGAGAAAAATGGATGGCATGCTTCGGCATTCAATTGATTCTCCATAATGGAAGGGAATTGATAAATTATTTCTTGAATTTGGCAATGAGCCTAGAAATCTTAGGCTTGGACTGTGTACAGATGGAATGAATTCTTATAGTAGTCTTAGTAGTCAACATAGTTCATGGCTTGTTTTGTTAGTGATTTACAATCTTCCTCCCTGGTTATGCATGAAACGCAAATATATCATGCTACCTTTAATGATTTCAGGCCTTAAACAACCAGAAAATGATATAGATATTTACTTGGCACCATTGATTGAAGATTTGAAGATAATGTGAGAGATAGGTGTTGAAGTGTTTGATTTATATCAAAATGAGTCTTTCAAGCTGCGAGCTATGATTTTTGGCATGATAAATGATTTTCCTGCATACAAAAACCTATCTGGATATAGTGTGAAAGGGTATAAAGCATGTCCTATCTGTGAAGAGAACACATCCCATCAACAATTGAAACACGAGAAAAAGACAGTCTATCTTGGTCATCGAAGATTTTTGAAACGAGACCACCCTTATCGCAAGCAGGAAAAAAGATTAAATGGTTATCAAGAGTATGATGAAGCTCCAGAGCCATTAATTGCAAACTCGGCATATGAGCGAGTGAAAGACATCAATGTGGTATTTGGTAAGAGTCAGAAAAAAGAAGCTCAAAAGAATTAGTGGAAGAAGAGGTCTATCTTTTTCAATCTTTCATATTGGAGCACCCTTGAGGTGAGACATAATCTTGATGTGATGCATGTGGAAAAAAATATGTGTGACAGTCTAATTGGAACACTGTTAGACATAAAGGGAAAGACTAAGGATGGACTTAAAGCAAGGCTAGACTTACTTGACATGGGAATACGAACAAACTTGGGTCCAAGAGTAGAAGGAAAGAGAACTTACATGAGCCTTGCCCCTCATACTTTGTCTAAGAGAGAGAAAAAAAGTTTTTGTGAGTGTTTACATGGTATGAAAGTTCCACAAGGATATTCTTCAAATATTAAGAACCTTGTATCAATAAAAGATTTAAAATTAGTTAGTTTAAAATCTCATGATTGCCGTGTACTAATGCAACAATTGTTACCAGTAGCAATTAGAGACATATTGGACAAATAGGTGAGAAAGTCAATTATCAGATTATGTGTCTTCTTCAATGCAATTTGT